CTGCCTTTCAACGCTAACGTTCTCGCTGCTAAACGGCCAAAGACCTGTGGCGTGTAGTTAGCCAGCCAGTGGGCGTGCCGCGTCTATAGCGGCTCGTAGAAGCCATGCTTGGTAGATAGCCGGGAGCTTATACTTCACTACGAATTGCGTGTTGGTCCGCACCTTTACAAGGCCCGCCTTTCTTCCCTCCAGGTAAGTTTCGCCTTCTCAGAACTCATCGAGGAAGCCTCCTTCGAATTGTTTTTGGGAACACCTGATATTTTCGCGATAATAAGTATTACAGCAAAGAGCGACTATTCATGCGTCACATGTCGGAATGGGCAATATTCGTTCAGAATACCAAAGACTAAGCTGTTACCTGAAAAACAACTGCCCGTTGTTTTGAATATGTTTCGGTGATTCGACTGGAATTTTTGTGAATTTCAATTTTTTAGTATTTAAACGCCAGAGCCACGACTGAAGATTACTGTATTCGATGCTGGTCGACTTAGGGTTCCTTTTAGTTTCTCTTTTCTGCATACATGCTCAGGTACTGGACTGAACGACTTACTTGTTATGATACCTTCTCAACAGTACCACTTCCAGTACCAGCCACCGACCACTCGCTACGTGGTGGTGATTACGGAACCGCCTCGACCACCACCACCACCACCAGGTCCTCTGCCACCAGCTCCTCCAGGTCAGCGTCAACTAATTCCTTCCTAACATTCATGTGATACATCGAAGAAGTGTTTCGCAGTCACATATAGTCCGACTTACAAAATACATTGGCTGTGCCAGTTCCAGGTCCCTACAATGGTCCGGTGATGCCGCCCGGCCCTCCTAGTCCTGGTATGTGTAAGAATCTTCACAGTTGTCTAATACTACCATAATAATTATTTGTCCATACAATTCAGATCTGCCTCCATATGTGCCTGATTTTCCTACAAATGAATATGTACAGGTAAGTGCCAGCTTTTGCTGGTTCAAAGCGCATTCCTATGGCTAGGAATTTTATTCGGTGGAGGGCAGTGTGTTTCGAGGGGGGATGGGATCTGACAGTCTGTAGGAAGGCCCACTAGGACAAAGCCTACGGAGAGGGGCGAAGTTCGGAGAGAATGAGAATTGCTCAGCATTCCGGAGTCCCTCGCTCAGCTGCAGGTCTTGGTCCTAAAACTGAGCGTTTCCGTAACCTTGAAGCAATTTTACGGGCTCCCCCCCCTTAGCCACTTGCCCCTCCGTAGGGTTGAAACATATCCTTTTTTTGAAGGAGTCGATTGTCAGCTGTGCAGATACCTTGGACAAAATGGAGAAGGAAACGCGTAACAAGAAAAATGCCAAGCTCTTCAGGTA